TTGTGAGGTAATGCATTTTTGTGTTTTGCACTGCTAAATTTGCAGTCATTTGTTACGGCGGCACTGTATGACAGTGGCAGAGCTGGGGTTCAGATTCAGGTTGAGCTGGCCCACGAACCTGGCATACAGTGGACGATCAAGTACTTCTTCAGTGACGTCTGTCCAGTAAAGGAGAGTTTGAGGTTTTGATATCAGCAAGAAAGCGTTTGCCATTGGGGAAGACAGGCTTTTGTAAGCACAGGGTATCGCACAGGGCACCGTGTTTGGTAGGGCTCACGGGAAAGATTGGTTTGCATTCCATCCCTGGAGTCCAGCCTAGGAGAGCATTGTTAAATCAGTTTGATGAGTAGTGACCACCAGCATTAAAAAAAGAGGAGAAATAGAAAATACCAGTCTGTGTCATAGGTAAGAGTTGCGTGAGTGGGTGCAGGCCCCTGTGGGGTCCCCCAGTGTGAGTTTCTCCCTGACAAAAGCCTTGCCAGGCGCCAGTGGGGAGGTGCTGGTGAAGTGGGTGAGTAGTTTTATAAATCATACTTGGAGTGATTTTATGGATTTCCCTGTTTCTCCTTGTCCACATGGTGTGGTATTTCATTCCTTTATGCTCATTGTGGATTATGCTCTTTGTCCTTACATTCTGTTTCTTCACCTCGGTGCATGAAAAGGAAAACCTTAGTGGCCGTATTATGCCATTTTGAGCGTTCTTCAGAGTTGTTGGTGCCAGCTTTCCTCTGGATTGCAGCCTGTGGTCCTAGGGCGGCTGCTGGCAGTCTTGCCCTTCTGCCCAGGGTGTCTTTGTCATTTCTGTGGTGGACTTAGCTCTGTCTCCACAGTGCACGTCAAGTCCTGGCTAATGACGTTCTTGCTTACTTCTCACGCGTGTGTCTTTGGCTCTTCAGCACCTTAAAGTGTTCTCTGTCCTGGAGAAGGCTTCACTGAAGAAAGCTTTCACATTTCCAGTATCTGGTGATACTTTCAGCCCATTCCCTTTTGTCTTATTTCAGTTTTCCCTCTTGGTATGTCCTGTTGAAGCTGAATGCCTGCTGTGTCGAGCATCGTGACAGGTGACACAGGCACCCTGGGCAGCCTCAGTCCTGACAGATGGGGAGTTTCAGAGAAGTTAAGGAACTTGCCTTGTCCCAGCCCACATATGTTGTATTGTGGGAGGGATGTGTTTGACCCCAAAGCATATTCCTTTTTTCTTTAGGCCTTGTTGCTTTTCAGTGTTTAGGCCTTGTGTAGATTTGGTGTATGCCTCTGTTACTCTCTGACGATTCCTGGTTTCTGTCCATGTTTTTTAAAGACCTTTTTGGTCTGTTTAACAGATTTAGTTTATTAGGTAGTTTTCCCATTGATAAAATACTGGAGTGTCTCTGTTATCTATTTTTTTTTTTTTTTTTGAGACAGAGTCTTACTTACTCCATTGCCCTGAGGAGAGTGCCATGACATCAGCCTAGCTCACAGCAACCTCAAACTCCTGAGCTCAAGTGATCCTCCTGCCTCAGCCTCCCAGTGTGCTAGGATTACAGGCGTGAGCCACTGTGCCCAACCTTCTGTATCTGTTAATACTGTGTGCCCCTGGAATAGAATGATTGAACGGGAGATGGCAGATGAAGTGAGAGGTAACAGGGAGATCAAGAGGCATCTCTTAAATCATAGGGAGGACTTTGCTGCCTCATCTGAGAGAGCCACTGGAGGAGGCTTTGGGGTTTTAAGCAGAGCTATGACATGACGTGACTTCTGGCTCTGACAGGATCGCTGCTGTGTTGAATGGATTGAAGGGGGCTGATGGCAGAAACTGGGAGGTCAGGGAAGAGTCTGATATCCTCTGTGATGGTTAATTTCATGGGTCAGCTTGGCTGGGTGACAGTGTTCAGATACTTGGTCAGACACTACCCTGGATATTTCTGAGGTGTTTTTTATATGAGATTAATATTTAAATTGGTGAACTTTAAGTAAAGCAGATTACCCTCCTTGATGTGGGTGGGCCTCATCCAATCAGTTGAAGACCTGAATACAACAAAGACTGACCTCCCCCGAGCTAGAAGAAATCCTGCTGGCAGACTGCCTTTGGACTTGGACTGCACCTCTTCCCTGGATCTTCAGCCTGCTGGCCTACCCTGCAGATTTTGGGTTTTTACCTCTGTAATAGCATTAGCTAGTTCCTTAAAATAAATCTAAGCACATCTGTTGGTTCTGTTTCTGTGGTACACTCCGACTAATACATCATCCAAGCAAGAGATAGGATGGTAGCTTGACCAGGAAGGTGGGGGGTGCGGTGGGAAGCAGTCATGGAATTTGGGATATATTCTTAAGGTAGAGG